GTACAGAAGAGTGTGGTGACAGGTGGGATCTCTTTGATGCTGCTGGTTTCCAGCAGATCACTGACAGCCAGCTTGGTTTCCAGAAGTAGTTTAGTTTATCTACTGTTCCTCAGTTTTCCAGGGTGATATCAGATAATCGCTACCAGAGATGATCTTCAAATATAAGTGTAACAAGAAACAGGTGGTCATGGATTCAGAAAAGGGTCCCTATTAATCCTAATATAACCACATTAAGGTCCAATGGTAGAAGAGCTTTTTATTGGTGCAAGGACCCTGGGTGGGACATCAACTATAAATGATAATTCTTTAAATACCGTAAATCTCCTGGTAGAAAGATATGTAGAAACAGCAGCTACATGCACTCTAAACCAAGCTAACAGACAACCTGGAGTATTTTGGGAGAAAGTAATCTAGCTAGGATAAAGACCTGGAAATCAACAGGTTGTAAATCTTTTCCATGTGGCTGAGTAGGTCTGTCTGGTGGAACCTTTTCTTTTTTTGTACTTCTAAAGAATATGATCTCCCTCTGACAGAGTGGGGTAAGCCCCCCAGGACCAGGTGGTCAGTGAACCTGGTCCTGACCCAACAGCCTGGTTCCAGTTTCACCAATTGGTCCAGGCCAGTCAGTACAGGACTATCAGGTCCCACAATCACTGACGGCCCAGTCCCAGTCGGTTATCAGGCTGTCATGGGGGGAAGCAAGTTGTCAGTGAGCAGGCTTACTGACAGGCTCCTTCCCCTCTTGGTTGGAGATGGGAGGGGGAAGGGAGCAGAGCTGCAGGGCCAAGCAACCTAGTACTGTTCTTTGCCTGGAGGACATGCCACTGAATGCCTTTGCCATGACTATCTGGACATCTGTCTCTGTCTGGTACCACTTTATTTTTGTAGCACTTCAAAGTAACGTGGCACCTGTAGCACAAGTACACATGTCCATAGTCTGAGAATGAGAATATCTAACCACCCTTACTGTTAGGCTATAGTGGTCCTTGGTCAAGATGGAACTACTAAGGGTATGTCTAACAGGAACCGCGTAGCCACATCAGCCTGGCACTCTGTCCAGGTCTGAGAAAGAGTCAGACAGTCCAAGTGGAGTGCTGAAATGACACTATCAGTTCCAGGCTCCAGTCAAGTACACAATGCAGTGCTATGCAGAGATATCTCATTGAAGCTATGACAAGTACTCTGGACAGTTTTGCAGTGCAACAAATACAGAATGTGCTAATAGGTTTTTGGTTTTAGTGAGTCTGACCTTCTGAATCACGCTTGGAAAAAAGTGAATAGGAGAGAAAGGAAGAGACCAAAAGGGTCCAAAGCAGGAGAAATGCAACTGAGAGTGATCCATAACTCCAATTTCCTGGAACAAAACTGATGATTCATTTGGTTCAGCACTGCTGAAAAGAGACTGATGTGGAAAAACTACTCTTGAATCACTTCCTGTTACACGGACTATCCATTATTTATGCTGATTATAGCCATTACTACATGTCTGCACCATGAATGTGACTTCAATTGTTTACTGAAAAGTTCCATGAACAAATGGCTTTTTGGCATAACTTGCTCCTCCCTAGTTGTCTTAGCAGAAAAATGCAACCACTGTCTAACAACACTTATGAAGGCATCCAGTAAAGCAATTTTTAAGGAAGGTCTTTCATGCATAAAAAAGGGTCTAAGTTCTAATACATGCATATACATGATTTTTTCCTAACCAGGCAACAGCTGTTGTAGTCCAGTATGGCTCTGCTGAACTCTGTTCTTTAGGTTAAAATCAATACAGATTTATTCTGCTGTTCACGGGCTCAGGCTTGTAAGAGGTTAAAAGATGCCCGTGACATTTTCCTTCATTTGTTGTCATAGTAATCAGCTGGCAAGGTACAAAAACACTTGGACGCCAATTTTTGCTATGACTGGCAGCTGGAAAAAGTAGGTATTTTGTGAATATCCTTTGTGCTGTCAAGAATCCAAAGGGAATAACTTATTATTGATAATGGCTTCTGTCTACAACAAACCCAAAAAAGCATTTGTTTGCAGAGTGAATAGCTATATGAAAAGTAGGTTAAGAGCAGTATATCAGTTCTCCTCATCTAGGAAAGAAATGATTGTCACGAAAAAGATACCATCCTAAACTTGGTCATTTTCCTGTAGCGGTGCAGCTTCCTATGGTATGGAACATGGCAAAGTCCCTCTTTTTCTCTTTGAAATAAGGAAACATCTTGAATAGAATCTTTTCCTCCCTGTTGAAACACTTCATTTTCACTGTATGAAATCTCTTGTCCCAAAATGTTCTTGTGAGAGGGGCCCTGATGAGAGACTGTACAAGATGGCAAGCACATGCAATAAGAAAAGGAAATGCATCACATCTCCACTAAATCTAACATACACTAGTCTGATTTTGATGGACTAATTATGGTAGAAATGAGCTAATTTAAAGGGAAGTGATGTCACAAATAAATTTAAAGTGACGGACAGGTTGTCCTCAGGTAGGAAGTCAGATCTGCAGTCTAGTGGAAGACAGCAGCTGGTGAGTTGATGCATCAGTGAGTGTACAAAACCATCTCTTAGATAGTGCTTGCAGGTTCTGAAAGTCTGTATTTAACAGCATACATGCTATCTCTGGTATACTTCCGGAATAAACTTCTCAATTAATACAGAAACGTGAAGGTACAAGAATTACCCTGAACTCTCTGAAGGTCTTTGGGCACATCATCTTGTACTATCATGAATCTAAAGTGCAAACTTCAAGTGGAAAATCTATGGCCAAGAAAAACAATACACAGTGACAACTGTCACCATTCTAAGTTGTATTAACAATATATTAAGTCAGACTGAAAGGAGATTCTTGGCAATCAGCTGACCCTCCACAATTTAAATACTATAATGCAAGGGGTTTCAACCTTTTCTAGTCTAAGTATCCCCAGCAGCCAAATGCTGAGCTGAGGAGGATGGGGGGGGGGCGGTGGGCAGGGTAGCATGCGACCAAACACCAAGCAGGGGGTGGAGGGGTGGCACACGGCTAGACAAGGAGCATGGAGACAAGTGGGGACGGAGTGCTGCCACCTCCCAGAAGCAGGGCCGGGGTGGGGTGGGGAAGCTCATCAGGCTGGTATGAGGCAGTGGCATCCGCCACATGTGAGCTTCCCTGGCCTGCAGGGGGCGCCACTGCCCTTGCCCCACTCCGGCCCTGCTCCTGGGAGGTAGCGGCGCTCCATCCCTGCCTGTCTGCGCATACCCCTAGCACTGGTCCAAGAACCCCCAGGGGTATGTGCACCCCCCATTGAAAACCCCTTCTATAATGTCTATCTGCCATAATTTATCAATTACCACTGCTTGGAACACTGCTTGATGCATTCATTATCAGCAATACCTGATGATAAGAAATCCTTATCTGCAGATGGAATGTGGAATAGAATTCCTGAAAACAGATGTATGTGCATTTGAGAATTTTTTCCCTTGGAATGTCATAGAATCATAGAAGTAGGGTCGGAAGGGACCTTGTAGATCTTCAAGTCCGACCCCCTGCCTGGGTAGGAGAAAAACTGGGCTCAAATGATCCAAGCTAGGTTGGCATCAAGTCTCTTCTTAAAGACCCCCAGGGAAGGAGCCAGCACCACTTCCCTTGGAAGTTGGTTCCAGATCCTAGCCGTCCTGACTGTGAAGTAGTTCTTACAGATGTCTAATCTAAACCTACTCTCCAACAACTTGTGGCTGTTACTCCTTGTTATGCTAGGGGGTGCTAGGCAAAATAAGGTCTCTCCCAAACCCTTCTGGTCCCTCCTAGTGAATTTATAGACTGTCACCAGGTCCCCCCTCAGCCTTCTCCTGTGAAGGCTGAACAGGTTCAGGTCCTGCAGTCTCTCATTGTAGGGTATGCCCTGTTGTCCCCAGATCCATGCTCTCAAGAAGGGAGTTTCCCATCTTATAAGTGTGCTGCTGGTTACTAATGCCTGAGCACCATGAGCGCTCGTAAAGCCGTGCCAAGGGCCCTGCAATAACCCATGCTAGATCCCTCAACACCCTGGGGTGGAGAGCATCTGGACCCACTGATCTGAACACATCCAGCCCCTCCAGAAGCTCTCTAACCTGGTCCTCCCCAACCTGAGGTCTGGAGGCGTTCCCCTCGAAAACAGAGGTAAATGCTGCTAACCTTGCTGAGATTCACTGGTGCTTGTAACTGCTAAAAATCCACCTATCAGATGAGAATATGATTTTTAAAATCTAATAGTCAGTACCTGGTACTTCTCTGTCCGTATAATTTGTCACTGGTGTCAAGTATACAAGTATCTGCAACAAGATACTGATAGGGTTTGCTAGTTCTTTATTTGGGATTATACCATGGGATTACCATGCACGCTGAAGTGTGCAAAATATCTAGCTATCTGAACTTTGCATCTTGAACCTTTTCAGAACGGATATCTAAAGTTATAGCCACGCTCTCCTGATCAAGTTTAGAATGATTATATAATCTCTCAGACTGCAGGCTGCTTGGTTCAATACCAAAGCTTTGTCTGGCAAAAAAAATGACAGTAAGGGAGAGTAGTAACCTACATACTGAATGAACGGGGAAGATCAGGACCTGAGTCTCATTGGCAGAAAATAGATCATCTCTGTTCTGCACTGACACAGGGATAGTGATCTGGAAGGAAAAGAAATGGAATACCATCCTTTGCAATAATGATGACTCCAAAGAGACCAAAAGTTCTACGGATGTTGGGTGGCTTGTTGGGCACAGTGAGCTCACCCATGGGTTCATGGTCACCAACAACAGGGCCAATATGGTCAAGGCCATCCGTGATGCCCACTTCGCTGGCATCTGCTGTGTGACACACAAGCGGCACCTCACAGTCAAGGACACTTTGGAGGCAGACAGGGCTGCTGGACATGGTGCCATCACTACCACCCAGCTGATTTCAAAATTCAGGAAGGTGGCAGGTTACTTCCACAGCAGCATCAAGGGGGGGCAAGATGCTGCAGGAGAAGCAGGCACAGAAAAGCATCCCGCAGCACAAAATTATGCAGGATGTGGAGACCTGGTGGAAAAACAGAAGGCCATCCATGAGATGGCCTTGCTCCAGAAGATTGGGATCAGCAATTCCCTTAACGGAGCCGAGTGGAATACCATCTCCCAGATCTTGGTAGCCCTCAAGCCCTTCCGAGTCCACCAAGCCCCTCAGCGCTGGTGATGCCCTCCTTAGCCAGGTGATCCCCCTAGCGACGGAACTTGAGAATCCAATAGAGAAGTTCCAGGGGATCAACGTTCCTGGCTGGGGCAAGCCACTGTCACCAGACATGCAGGCACTGGTGAGGCAGCTGAAGGAGGGCATCAGGAAATGGCTGGATCCCTTGTGGTCCAGTATGATCCACATGATGGCAGGCATGTGCAACCCGAGGGTGAAGGGGAGCATGTGCACTGGCAGCACCAAAACCCTAGATCACTGGACACAGGTGCTGGTCAACAGAGTCAGAGAGGCAGAAGGGCAGAGGCGAGGGGATGTGGAAGACAGGGGTCCAGTTTCCCATGCCAGCACTCTGAGCACCAGTCAATCTCCCCCATGCCAGCTGCTGCTAATGTGGACCAAGGGCATGGCTTCAATGTTGGGGTTCAGACACACAAGACCCCAGCCTTAGACAGGTAGGAACTTCACTACATCAACCTCCTCAGTACGGAAACTCATGGACTCAATATAGAGAGGACCTCAATATTGGAATTCTGACTCTACAACCTGCCAGACATCTGACTCCCCAAGTACCTCTCCACTTTTACATGCGCTGCTCCACCTCCCTTCCCCCTCACCACCCCCTAATGCCTGCCCCTCACCCCCTGATGCCTCCATTTCCATTTTCACTGACTGGCTTTCTTGCCTGCATTGCATGCTAGCCTCTGGCTTCTTTACTATTTCTTCCATCTAGGAACAGCACACACACACACACAAACTGCAGGTGCTTCCTCAGCCTGATGAAGGGTTTTTTCAACCTGAAAGCTTGCTAAGATATATTTCTCTAACTATTCAGTTGGTCTACTAAAAGATACCGGATTGATACAAAGGATGTTTTCTGCCAGTGCCATGTCTTTAGACTAACACCCTTAGCACCTGTCCTAGGTCAGACCAGAAGGAGGGAAGGGCCCTGGGCATATCTAAGCCCCAGGGCTGGGGCTGGTGGGGAGAGTTCTCTGGCAGCTTCTGGAGAAGAAGCTCCTGCAGGAAAGGAAAGAAAGGCTCTAGTCTGACAGTTTGGCTGCCTAGTGCTACTGTGCTGCAGTGCACTGCTTACCTGTTGTTATTTAAAGTGGTGGACTGGACTGAGGCTGTAGGGGAGGAGGAAGCTTCATTGGGGCACACTGCTGTGTTGTGTAAAGGCCCCAGTGCCAATGAGGGCATGCCTTAACACACGGACAGTGTCACCATGTCACGAGTTTTGCTCGTCAGCAACCTGAGGTGCAATCTCCCAGAAATCCCTACACCTATCTTCTTGAAACCTGGCAGGCTCCATGGCTTCAGCAGGGGCTAGCAAGCCTGCAGTTTTCACCCGCCTCCACCTTAACACACACATACATGTGAGATAAGTTTTGCTTGTCAGCAGGTTGAGATGCAGTTTCCCAGAAACTCTCTCACTGAAACTTGGCAGGCTTCATGCCCTCAGAAAGGGCCATCATACCTGCAATTTTTATCTGAATCAGCCAAGAAGTGACAAAGGTATAGATATTTCAGTGATTCCAAATTATAGCCTATGGCTGAACCTCTGAATCAGAGCTGAATTTTCCAAAGCCAATTCAGTCAAATCGATTCGGGACAGTGATCCAAATTGAAAAACTGTCCTCCGAATTGGCCAAATCTGAATCGAAATAATTCCCAATTCACAGAGGCCTAGTAACAACTAATCTGATTTTTTAAATTTCCTAGTGCAAAAATAGCATGACTATGTAATTCCCCCCTCCCCACAACAATTGCTAAGCTACAGTTCTACCTATTTGTAGTAGATGATTACATTAAAATAGCTGCTTATAATTTAATGCATATGTATATCACCACTTATATTAAGGCTGTGTGAGAAGTTACGATCAGGTTGAGTCCCAGCATATTAACTGCTCTATAAATAAACACAAGTTCCTACAATCCAAAAATAATTTAGTGTACTAACTCTGTTATTGCATGTATGAATTAAGAGTACGACTAACAAGTCACTCAACTGATTGGTCAAATATTGTCAATTGACTGCATATCTTTTCACTGGTCAAAGATTATAGCAATTTTATACAAACTACATTTTTTTTTTGTAATTTTCTTGAAGGAAACATGATTTTTTATTTTTTGACACATTTCTTACTGGAAAATTTGTGCTTTTTCTGTGCACTATTTGGACCTATTGGCAAATGTTTCCAATTTTTTATTAAAATTTGACCAGTGAAATCGACCAGACTATTTGACTGGACAAAATACCCAACCCTAAAAGGTAGAGTTTCCAATCTCAGATTCAAGATAAAAAAGGAACACTGAAATGAACGTGTCTTCATTAATTTTTTATCATAAGACATAAAATGAGGTCTTGACCACTTGAAGTCACTGATGGTCCTATGGCACTTCTTGCAGAAGTAGCTAGTGTCCAGTTTATATTCTTGGCAGGCAATTACATTCTGCCTATCCCTGCAGTTTCAAGTGGATGATTTATTTTTTATTGAAATCTGATCCTAAACTGTGGCAATTTTGCTGTTCACTACTAAAGTAAATGAAACTCTTCTTCCAAGAACTGTGCATTACATAAGCTGATCAAATAATTCTTCTATATAAGCCTGTACAGTGTTTTGAAATCTTTGAGGAAAAAACCCTGTACATAAATATTGCTATTACCTTGGCCTCTCCATCTGGTAAGAAGAGGTAAGCTCCACTCTTATCTCTGTTACTTGTGGTTCCATACCAAGCAAACTCAATCTTTATTTGATGATTTTTGCCATCTTCTTTTGTGGTTATTTTCTAAGGAAAAGAATCACAATTTGAAATATTGACATGTTCAGTTTTTTATGCATCAGAATCACAAATCGCACTGAGAACACAAAACACATTTCAAATTGTGAACCAGTATACCTCCAAAAGTCCAGAGTTCCCAGAGAACCACAGTTTCATATAGGAGTTCTCTAAAATTATGTCATCCACACCATTTTGCATCTCGTTTATCTTGAAAATGCTATCTGGGATCACCTTTATATTGTTGCTTCCACTAATATACATGTTATAATCAGCAAAGACTGTTTCTGAACTTGGAACCTCCAAAAGTTGGTAAACTCCCAACCCCAGAGGTGACAGATGTGCCACAAAAGAAATCTGTTGGAGAAAGAAGAAGGTACTAGATATAAAAAGCGAATATTATCAAAACTGAAAGTTTAAACATATTGCACAAAACTCGAGTACAATTTAATCTTGCTTACTTCAGTGGTTATACCTATGGCCCTGAGAAAAATCACAATTTCACAGACTGCACGGAAACCATGAAATTTGCGAACATAGGCACTGAAAGCCCAGGGCTAACAGGGCTTAGCCCCCTCAAACATGGGGCAGCCCAGGCGCAGGCTCCAAGTGACTGCCGTTGGGGGGTGGGGGGGGGAGAGTGCGCGCGTGCGCGCGCACACACACACACACACACACACAGAGCCTGCCTGGGATTGCAGCCAGATGGCATGCAGAGCACTGCCCACCAGAGCAGGCAAGTTGGGGAAGGGGTGTGGGGGACAGATTGAGGCCCCCACATTGAGGGAGGGACTGGGGCAGAGGCATGGGCAGGGGCTAGAGTGAATGGAGCCCCAGGGCAGGTTGTGGGATGCTCAGAACATGGGTGGCTCATCCAGGGGTGCAGGGGAGCTCCTGCTGCTGCACATACCACAGGAGAGGCCCAGGGGGCATGTGTCCCCCAGATTTGTGCATGGGGTGGAGGTGGACTGTTATTCCAAGCATCTCATGACCTGCCCTGGGACCCCATTCACCTTAGCCCTAGCCTCTGGCTCCACTCTCTCTCTCACTGTGGGGGCCTCAATCCACCTCCCCCACACCCCCCCATGTCCCTTCCATTTCCCTGATTTACCTACTATGGTTGGCAGCACTCTGCACACCATCTGGCTGCAATCCCAGCCTCCTGTTGGTTCTGTGTCTGTGTGTGCATCCCCCCCCCCCGCATTGTGCCCAGAGATCAGAGCCAGGCTGCCTCGCTGCCCTCTGCACTCCCCCACAATTGGGGGAGGCTAAGCCCCATTAGCCCCAGCCTGCCATTGCCTATGGCTGTGTGCTTGTCTACCGCATGTGTGCTGGTAAAGCGTCATTTTTCATGGAACTACTGGGACCCATTTGCCAAGATCAATGGTAGTTCTGTGAATATTCTGTGAAAAAATGATACTTTACCCATGTGTGCGTCACAAATTTTCAACAAGATATCTGTGATTTTCTCAGGACCCCAGTTATACCAAGGCTGAATTTAATCCACCTTATAAAAACAAAAATAAATTACTAATACAGTGTGTTACTAATAGGAAAACCTCATATTGCTAAACAAAGAAATACCATTTATTGCTAAAGAAATACCACTTATTCATCACAAATAAAAATAAATACTGTTACTGTTACGTTGATTAATAGCAGGATCACCACTTACTAATATAGTGACATTTTAGGTGTGTTGCTCTTAAAGAATACACTTGTAGCCTGAACTATTAGGCTGCATCTCAAACCCACTTAAAAATCTGAAAAAGAATATAAAAGAATGGTGCCCTACAACTGCTCTTTATTTTCTGCTTGCTTAGAAGCTATATAGAAGTAAGATAATGCAGTAGATACATTTCCAGGAGAAATTTACTCAAAATTCCAGTTATGCTTGTCTTTTCTTCTTCTAGAAAGCTTCAGATATCTGCACTGGAAATTAATTAGCAGTAAATATTTCCCTGAAGGAGGGTTGGAAAATAAACAGTGCAGGAATGAGATCCTTTAAAAAAAAACAAAAAAAAAAAAAAAAAAAAAAAAACCAAAAAAAAAA